AACTGGGAGGGCACTTTGAGGGCACTGGGCTGAACTGGGATGAACTGGTGTGAACTGGGATGAACTGGGAGGGCACTCAGGGCACTGGGCTGAACTGCGCTGAACTGGGCTGAACTGGTTTGCACTGGTGTGAACTAGTGTGCACTGGGTTGAACTGGGAGGGCGCTTTGAGGGCACTGGGATGAACTGGTGTGAACTGGTGTGAACTGGGAGGGCACTGTGAGGGCACTGGGATGAACTGGGGTGAACTGGTGTGAACTGGGATTAACTGGGAGGGCACTGGGCTGAACTGGTGTGAACTGGGATTAACTGGGAGGGCACTCTGAGGGCACTGGGCTGAACTGGGCTGAACTGGGATGAACTGGGAGGGCACTGGGCTGAACTAGTGTGAACTGGGAGGGCACTCTGAGGGCACTGGGCTGAACTGGGATGAACAGGTGTGAACTGGAATGAACTGGTGTGAACTGGGCTGAACTGGGAGGGCACTCTGAGGGTATTGGTGTGAACTGGTGTGAACTGGGAGGGCACTTTGGGGGCACTGGTGTGCACTGGTGTGAACTGGTGTGAACTGGTGTGTCCCAGCGGCCGCGGGGGACGAGAACCGCATCGTGGGCGGGGAAAAGTGCGGGCGGAGGCTCCACCCCCACCAGGCCGTGCTGCTGGAGCCGGGCGGGGCCATCCACTGCGGCGGCGTCCTGATTGGCCGGCGCTGGGTGCTGACCGCCGCCCACTGCCACACCCAAAGGTACAGCTGGGGACAGCTGGGGCACACCTGGGCACACCTGGGCACACCTGGGGACAGCTGGGGACAGCTGGGGTACACCTGAGACTCACCTGGGCACACCTGGAGACAGCTGGGGTACACCTGGGATACACCTGGGGACAGCTGGGCACACCTGGGGGTGTGAACACACACACCTGGATACACCTGGGCACACCTGGGATACACCTGGGGGTCCTGATTGGCCAGCGCTGGGTACTGACCGCCGCCCACTGCCACACCCACAAGTACACCTGGGTACACCTGGGGACACCTGGGCACAGCTGGGGACAGCTGGGATACACCTGGGCACACCTGGGATACCTGGGGACACCTGGGTACAGCTGGGGCACACCTGGGCACACCTGGGTACAGCTGGGATACACCTGGGCACACCTGTGGACACCTGGGGACACCTGGGGACACCTGGGGGGGTAAACACGCACACCTGGGTACACCTGGGACACACCTGGGGACAGCTGGGACACACCTGGGACACCTGAGTACACCTGGGACACACCTGGGACACACCTGGGATACACCTGGGACAGCTGGGATATACATGGGATAAACCTGGGGACACCTGGGTACACCTGGGATACACCTGGGCACACTTGGGATATAGTTGGGATACACCTGGGACACCTGGGCACACCTGGGTAAACCTGGGGGGGGTAAACACGCACACCTGGGCACACCTGGGATACACCTAGGCACACCTGGGGACAGCTGGGGTACACCTGAGACTCACCTGGGCACACCTGGGTACAGCTGGGATACACTTGGGATACACCTGGGCACACCTGAGTACACCTGGGTACACCTGGGATACACCTGGGACACCTGAGATACACCTGGGACACATCTGGGTTACACCTGGGCACACCTGGGTACACCTGGGGGGGGGTAAACACGCACAACTGGGTACACCTGGGCACACCTGGGGGGACAAACACACACCTGGGGGTCCTGATTGGCTGGCGCTGGGTGCTGACCGCTGCCCACTGCCACACCCACAGGTACACCTGGGCACACCTCGGCACACCTGGGTACAGCTGGGCACAGCTGGGGTACACCTGGGCACACTTGGGGACAGCTGGGGATACCTGGGGTACACCTGGGATACACCTGGTCACACCTGGGGACAGCTGGGGACACCTGGGATACACCTGGTCACACCTGGGGACAGCTGGGGACACCTGGGATACACCTGGTCACACCTGGGGACAGCTGGGGATACCTGGGGTACACCTGGGATACACCTGGGGACAGCTGGGGGACACCTGAGACTCACCTGGGCACACCTGGGTACAGCTGGAATACACTTGGGATACACCTGGGCACACCTGAGTACACCTGGGACACACCTGGGACACATCTGGGTTATACCTGGGCACACCTGGGTACACCTGGGGGGTGAACAGACACCTGGGCACACTGGGACACACCCACACACACCTGGGGGTCCTGATTGGCCGGCGCTGGGTGCTGACCGCTGCCCACTGCCACACCCACAGGTACACCTGGGCACAGCTGGGTGGGTAAACATGCACACCTGGGATACACCTGGGGACACCTGGGACATCTGGGGATACCTGGGCACACCTTGGACACACCTGGGTACACCTGGGACACAGCTGGGCACACCTGGGTACAGCTGGGATATACATGGGGACACCTGGGCACACCTGGGCACACCTGGGGGACACCTGGGACACACCGGGGGTACACCTGGGGGGTAAACATGCACACCTGGGCACACCTGGGATACACTTGGGGACACCTGGGACACACCTGGGGGGACAAACACACACCTGGGACACACCTGAGACACACCTGGGGGGACAAACACACACCTGGGACACACCTTGGACACAAACACACACCTGGGACACACCTGGAACACAGCTGGGGGAACAGACACACACCTGGGACACACCTGGGGGGACAAACACACACCTGGGGGGACAAACACACACCTGGGGGGACAAACCCCCCCCCCCCGTCCCTCACCTGTCCCTCACCTGTGTCACCTGTCCCTCACCTGTGTCACCTGTCCCCCCCAGCCCGCTGCCCATCCGGCTGGGCGAGCACAGCCTGCGGACGCGGGAGGGGACCGAGCAGTGCCTCACCTGGGCGCGCGCCTTCGTGCACCCGCGCTACAACGTCACCACGCACGACAGCGACCTGATGCTGCTGCGCCTGCGCCGCCCCGCCCACCTGAGCGCGCACGTCAGCCCCGCCCCCCTGCCGCGCAGGTGCCCCCGCGGCGGGGACAGGTGCGTGGTGTCGGGCTGGGGCAGCACCAGCAGCCCGCAAGGTGAGGGGGTGGCGCACCTGGGGGGCACCTGGGGCATACCTGTCACACCTGGGGCTCACCCGGGGCACACCTGGGGTGCACCTGGGGCACCTGTCCCATCCATCTCCTCACCTGTCACACCTGTCTCACCTGGGGCACCCGGGCCCACCTGTCACACTTGGAGCATCTGGGATACACCTGTCACACCTGTCCTATCCATCCTCGCCTGTCCCACCTGTCACACCTGGGGCACACCCGGGGCACACCTGTCCCACCTGTCCCATCTGTCCCTCACCTGTCCCACCTGTCC